TATTTTTTTCCTACTTCCATCCTCCCTCCCTGTTTTCTAAAATTCATCCACATGTGCTATCTTAACAGGTCTTTGCAAAGACCCATGGTCAGGAAAGGTATTAGTTTGCAAATATTTACACGAGGATAGTCAGGCTTAAAAAGAATTGTATAAAACCACTTGGTCAATGGTACAGCCCGAACTTGAATTCAAATGTTTCTTGTTCCAAAGCTTCCTCCCCCGCCTCCACGTTTGTGCCTTTTTAAGGGTCCTTCCATGTAGGTCCAGCTACTCCATGATTCAGTGACTCTGGGAACTACAAATGTTTTAAGTAACAGTATCTTTTTAGATCCTTCAAAGTGTACCTTATGACAAAGATTTGAATGCAAATTGTTTAAAGTGAAGGAAATCTAGAATGGGGAAGTGAGGGATAGGAAGAGAAAGGCAGCCAATGCAGTTTGAAATTAAGCCATCATGTCACTGGGCATGACAGGAACTTAAATCTCCCTGGGAAAACCCTGAGAACCTATGTAGCACAGAATTCAGCTATCCCACTTGGGACAGGAGGGAGGTAGGCTGTGCCTGAGTTCTAGTAATTCTTTGGTTAAAGGTTGCTCTGCTCCCCTGACTGTAATTCCACCAAACCTTCTCATATACCAAGAGAAAGCCCTCAGAGGATGAAATAAAAGTGCCAGAAGTAAAAGGGGCTGTGCTCAGTTAAGTGCTAAGGAGAGGGTGTGACCGCAGCACTGACAGCACCTTATTGGGAGTATCAGTGAAGTTTATCCAGTTGTCATATCCATTTTTCTCTAAAAACAGAACCCCCAAACTGTTATTGAATACAGCTTTACTTTTTTTTTTTTTTCGAGATAGGGTCTTGAGATATTGTCCAGGCCGATCTCAAACTGAAAGGGTGTCTCCAAAGTAAGAAATGGGACAGCTTTAATTACAGCATTCCATGGACTCAAGTGTTTTCTGCAAATTCACTGACAAACCAGCACATTATAAAGAACAAAGACTTCCTAAAAGTAATCCATGGCCTAACACAAGTCTTCTTTGTTACACACAGACCTACCCATGGAGCATATATAAACTCCTTACATTTTACGTACCTTTAAAACAGTAAAGGTACTCTCATTTACTTTAGGATTGTTATTTAGTCTTCAGGAATACCCTAACGGTATTTTTAGGAAAAGACATTTTCCTTATCTGTCTTTAGCTAGTGATAAAACTTTGGCTCACAGACTAATGTCTAAAATTCCAAAAGGCACCCTGTCTCTTCTTCTACTGTTTATTTTGCTAGTTTCTTGTCTTACATAATGGGCAGTACACAACATAGCTTCTTTTGGCTCACAAGTCTTTAGAGTGAGACTCTTCAGTAAATGATTTCTGGGAAACACTGGGAAGGATGGGAATTCCTTTTGCTAGTATTTGTTTCATTATTTATTGCTTATTTCTTATAGGAAGACCCTGGCTTCTCCAAGGCCCCAAAAGAATCCAAATGTGAACAATAAGGGTTTAAATAAATAGTACTGAAGATACAAGACTAACTCTTCATAATAATCCCATCAATATAAGCCTGTTTCCAGCATTTCAAAAAAAAGTTCCACCTATTCCTATTTAAAAAATGTGCTGAACGTATCTCATGAATTGCAAAATGTTTTTTAATTGGTTGTTTAGGCTGTATTTATACCTACCTTGTCTTTCTCCTGATTATGTGTGTTTGGAGGCATTAGACCTAAAATGTTACAGTTTCTTTCTAATTTGCTTCTTTCTCCTGTTCATCAACTTGTTTCTTCAACTTAAAGGTCACTCTAAAATTTTATTCCATATTCCCTGGTGTTTGCAAATGCTCAATTTTTGTATTGCATCCAGAAGAAAGCACTTTTAACTCGTCAATAATGGCTAGTAAAAAGCACTGAGCTTAAGTGACACATACCATCACTTCACAGGTTTCCCTCCAGTTTCTCGTATTTTCAACAAGTCACTTAAAAGCCTCTGTTCCAACACAGGCAAAGCATGGGAATTGTATATTGCTCTGTTTGTTGAAAATGCAGTAAGATAATGGCAGTAACATTCACTAGAGAAGCAGCCTCTAAGCAGCCAGAAATCCAGATCTGCTATGCATAACCCATCAACTGGGCAACAGTCAACCTAATTCTTTCTTCAGGTGGGGCAGCTTTGGTTGTGGATGCGAATAGCACACGGCATGCCTTTTCACAGCCTTAAGCAAAGCCAGTTGGCTCTTAATTTAGACAAAATTTAATCCAATTATCTTATTTTCTAGATCAGCCGAATAGAAACATAAATAGTAAGTTTTAAAGCAGATGAAAAAAATTCACAGTAGTGATCAGTGACAGTTAACAGTGTAAAAAGACAAGACAGAAAACTCAAAAGCAAATGTAAGACCCTACAAAGCAAAGCAGCCTGAGTCTCATTAACACAAGAGCATACTGAATCCTACTGCGCCCTAGTTTAAAGTAGGAGAGGAAAGAAGTATTTGAAGAACTAACAACAAAAACTTTCTGAATTTATTGAGAAATAATCTACACATACAGGAAGCTCAAAAAACTCCCAACATAAATACAAAAAGACTCTCAGACAAATATAGTATAAATCATAAACATCAAAGACAAGAAGAAATCCTGAAATCTGCAAGAGAAATGCAAGGCATCACCTACAAGGGAACCTCAAGATTAACATCTTACTTCTCAGCAGAAACAATGGAGACCAGAAAGCAGTGGTAGAAAATGGTGACAAAAACAAAAATAACGGGCAACCTCAAGAATCCTATATCCAGAAAACTGACATTTCAAAATGAAGGAAAAATAATTTCCTATAAAAACAAACTGACAAAACTTGTTGCTAGCAGACTCATATTACAAGAAATACTAAATAAAGTTCTTTACTCTGAAAATGACCCCAGAGCAGTACAAATCTAAAGGAACAAATAACATTGATAAAGGTAATTATGTAACTACAAATGCATATTCTCTTATTGAACAATTGCAAAAAACAACATGTATCTAGTATACTACTGTGCTTATAACATGTAAAAATATACAATATATTTTGCCAATAATAGCACAAATGAGGTGAATACAAGCCAAGCTAAAATGGGCTAGGGAAATGACTACAGATGATAAATTAATGCTTTGTTTGGTTTGTAACATTACGAGGCACTGTCTAGAAAACAGATTTGGTATTCAATTAAGTTTCAGATGTTATATAAATTATTACATTCCCTGCATAAGACAAAATACAGAATTCATTGTCAACCAAAAATAAATTTTCTTTTTGCTACTTTTATTTACTGCTCTGACAGCCAGGTTAAAAAGACATTTGAAAGTTACTTCTCCTTTCTATCCTAGGGTCTTATTATTTCTGAAGGCTGGATGCTAGTTTCTGACCATGGAAACCAGGAGACAGTGAAGATCTAGGTTTGTTTGTTTGTTTTTTTAATATAAAAACTTCCTAGCAACAAGTATCTATCTAAAAAAGGAAAGGGCTCACACATAATCCTCTTAGCTCAATACAGCTTTCTTTTTTCCATTCCATTTATTCTCCTTCTGGTCTTATTCCATAGGCATTCACATTTTTTTTTCCTGGTACCGGGAATCAAACTCAGGACCTTGTGTTTGCCACTGGTGCAGGCAGTGCCACTGAGCTACAGACCCAGCCCGGCACTCACATTTTTATAGATGTATAACTATATTTTTCTTTTTCCACTGTGCATTACATTGCATATTTTATGAAGTTTAATTATCATTCTTGATAGAGCATCACATATTATTCAGGGATATATAAACTATTCTATGTGTCTCTCCTTCCCATTCTATTTGATAAGTGCTGAACCCAGAAGGCTTTAGTTCAAGTATATACTTTCAGACTCAAAGGGGCTTGAAAAATAGCAAAATCTCACATTTTGGAAGTAATATAGAGTGACCTCTGGTTATTAAGAATTTAAATACAAGTTTCATCTGATTAAGATTCATAATGTAGAATTCTAGTTATTCTGATTTACAGTTTATGAATCTACCAAATTTGGAAAGTAACAGTACATCTAGAAATTTTGATTCAGATTCTCCTATATCCATAAATCTACCTGCTACTCTCCCTACTTCAATTCAATATACTGCCTAAAGCAGTTATTTTGGGGGAAAAAAATCAATTTTGAACTAATCAAGCAGTATAAGTGAAAATTTTATCAGTATATAAAAATGATTTAAAATAGCACTCCCCTTTTCTAATATAAACATCTTACTCTTAAAGCACACTATTATAACTTTGTTCGAGAAGTATTCTTAAGTATCTGGCCTAGGAGAGGAAATAAAAAGGGAATAAAATAACTTAAAATTCAGATGACCTCATATGAAGAACCAGTCTAATGCTTTTAGCTCAATGACATTTGTAAAGAGTCTATTCTTTACTTCCTATTTTGTTTTTAAACTTTATGGTCAAGTGGGTAAGCTCCAGGGTACAGGAGTTTGCTTACTACCTTAGTATTACTCATTCTATTCAGTCAGAGGCACAATCCATTTAGAAACAAGATAAATGTTTTCTCTCTCTCTCTCCAAACTGCAAATTACAACTGAAAATAATTTTTAGTATTACATATTTAAAGTTGTTATTTATTGTGGTTTACTGGATATTTGGAGTGTACATATCATTAGAATGCAACAAACTATCAATGTGTTTGACTGTATTGCTATAATGCTTATTCTAAACCAAAGTAACAAAGAAAGAGCCAATTAGTAATGACTACTTCCATACATTTTTCAATGCTTATTCTCAGCATCTTAGAATTTGTAAATGGGATGCTGAAATACTGTTTTAATCTATGACCATGGTTGCCATCACTAGGTATTAACACAACTAAAAAGCTGTTAACTGAACCTTGTAAAATAAATTAGTATTAATTACTTCAAACATACAAATCATTAATTTGAGAAATGTGAAAGGCATAACTTATCAATTTACTATTCAAGGAATAAACAGTTGATCACAACAAATCTAGGCACCATTAAAAAAATAAATAGTAACATGGGAGAGAAAACAAATTTATGCTGCATTATAGCTCAAAAAAGATCACTGTCATATTACTCCAGATAAATTTGGTAAAGAGAAGATAATAGGATACAGCACTCTCCATTGACATTAAGATTGTACACCTTGGGAAAGTCCCTTCTTTTGAATTTGTTTCTGCACCTGTAAAACAAAGGAATTAGGCTGTATTATCTCTAAAAGTCCTAAGACTTAACAAATTTACCTGGCTTTCCATAATACCTATTTATGAAAAGTTGTTCTCAAGTTTTTGTCATTTAGAATGTCTCAATGTACCAAGAATATTTACATGACAATTGCTGTCACTTTACAATTTCTGCAGTGTTTCCAATTGTCAAGCTCTCTTAAAGTGAGCAACATCTATGTATTTATAAGGAAAAAATATAAATCGTATTTATAGACTAAAAATCTGTGATATGGTTTTAGGTAGAATAAAGAACTGATAAATTTAAATTACAAAATTTAAGTTACAAAAGTCTGGCAAAGCGTAAATATAATAAACCAGCTAATGCAATTTTTTACCTACAGTTTTGCTTTTTCTATCTGTAAGATATGGTAATAGGTACACTGCTGATCAATCATTTTCTAAGGGTTAGTGTCACAACCCAAACTGTACAATATTGGTATGTACAAAAGCCAAATGTCAAAACAGGCTGAGGCTACTCTAGCCAAGGTTACAAACTGATGTAAACATATGAAAAGGGAGGATTTTTCCCAATGTTACAGATCTACTCAGGGTCAGCTGAGAAGAACCTACATCTGATTGCCAATTCAATTCCACACGACAATCTTCTAGAAACCATAGAGCAAGTGATGCTCTGAGGAGCAAGTAGGGGATATCTGAGTGGAACATACATCTAGTTCAGTGCTGTATTTAAACTTGGCATTTCTACAGACTATAGATGTCATTCAGCTTCTGCTAGTGCTAAGTGGTTAAGATACTAATCTTTAAGATGGAATACATTTTTTGAGGTACTGGAGACAACTTAGGGCCTTGCACACGCTAGGCTAGTACTCTACCATAAGTTATGGCCTCAGCTTTTTTAAATTTCTGAGACAAGGTCTCATTAAGTTTGCCCAGGCTGGACTTTTAACTTGTGATCTTCCTGCCTCAGCCTCCCCAGTAGCCAAGATTAAGGGTGTATGCCACCACATTTGGCCATTCTCTTTTATTTGGACAAATAACCATAATTTTTTTTTACACTATACTCTAATTTGCCACTTTGTAACTTTTACTTAGTTCTGCTCTGAGAGGAAAACAAAATAAATTGTGTATTTCTCTCAAATATTTGAAGATAGCTATCTTCCTTAGTTAACATCAGTTTGTCTTTGAGTTTCAGTTTATAGGACTTTCTAGTATCAACACTTCAGAATTTATTCAATTTGTAACTACCCTTTCACTGAAAATAATGAAATTAATAATAAAATGTGGTTTGTCTTAATACTTTGTATATGGAGATTTCCTCAATGTATTTTTCAGCACCCTAAGATTGTTATTTCTAGCAAGCTAAATTCTACATTTTTTTCCATCTTATACTGTCACAAACGCACTTTCATATTTCTGTCAATTTTTTCTCCTGCCTCTGGGATAAACAGAAAGGTCCAGAATGCCATATATGACTGTATCCCTAATCAGTTTGCACCAGTCTTATCCCTATGCCACCCTTTTCCTTTGATTTCTAGCTAGTCTTCTCACATTTCAAACATACTTTTCCTTTTTTAAGTCTTCCATATACTGTTTCTCTTACCCAGGAATACCCAGGTGGGCCAGGCACACAAAGTTCAGTTTAAATATCACTCCTTTCTCAGGTTCTTCTTTGCCATGCTCCCTGTAAAACACCTTTTACCTGTTACAATATCCTGAAAATCTCCTTTAGATCTCACAAAAATAGTAATATTTGTGCAATGAGGTGCCTGTGTCTTCCTTCAGCTACTCTGTGAAGTCTATGAGGGCATGATCAATGTCTACCTTTACCCAGCCAGGGTTTTATATACTATAGGCATTCAATAACTATGTTTTGAATAAAAAAATAATAAATGAGTATAATCAATATTTACATTTTCGGCCGGGGATTTAGCTCAGTGGTTTCACCACCTGCTGTGCAAACACAAGGAGCAGAGTTCAAACCCCGGTACCCCCCCCCCAAATTTACATTTTCAAAGGTAGTAAGAGAAAACAGTTAAACCCTGGGCTGCATTTTATACAATGGATCAGCTGTATAGGTTCCAAGATAATCTTGAGAAATATATTTCCAAATAAGTGACGATGCAATTTAGAAATCTTTGAGCAGGACTATACTTATTTCTGAGAAAATAGAGATTAAAACAAAAGCCATAGGAAGAGACAAGTATGGTTATTATAAAATGATCAAGAGATAAATTCAACAAGGAGATACAAGGAATATATCCATATGTACCTAATGGTTCAGCACTCAGTTTTACAAAGCAGACCCTATTTAGCCTGAAGAGAAAGGCAGGTTCCAACATAGTAAGTAACAATGGGGAACTTTAACATGGCACTCTCATCAATGAGCAGATCATCCAGACCCCAAACAAACAAAAAACAACAAACATCAGAGTTAAACTATACATCAAATGGACTGAACACTTAACAGAACATGTCATCCAACAGCTGCAAAATGCACATTACTTTCATGAGGACATGGAACTTTCTCTAGAATAGACAGTATATTGGTCACAAAACAAGCTTAAACAATTAAAAATTGAAATCCTATTTTCTGATCACAATGGAATGAAATTAGAAGTCAACAAGAGGAACTTTATATATTATACAAATACATGGAGGCTGAATGACATACTGTTAATAACAAGTTGTCTAAGAAATTTTAAAAATTCTTAAAACAAATGAAAACACAACATACCAAAATTTATGACAGAAAAAGGAGTACTAAAGGGCATTTATAGCAGCAAGTATCTACATTAAAAAGTAATTTCAGGGCCGGGTATTTAGCTCAGTGGCACTGCACCTGCCTCACAAGCCCAAAGGTCCTGCATTCGATCCCAAGTACAGGGTGGAAAAACAAGTAATTTCAAATAACCAAGGACTTAGGGAAACAACAAAATTAGTAGAAGGAAAAAGTTAATAAAGATCAGAGTAGAGAATGAACAAAATAGTAACTAAAAAAGCCAAACTATATTTATTGATCAAGAGAAAAATTGCCTTTTTGAAAAGATAAAATTTACAAACCTTTAACAATGATAAACAAAATTTACAGACCTGTAACAAAATTTTAACCAATAAAAAAGACCCAAATAAAATTAGAGATGAAAAAGGAAACATTAAAACCAATACCACAGAAATACAAAGGATTGTTAGTGACTACTACGAAGAACTACATGCTAACAAATTGAAAAACTTGAAAGAAATGAACAAATTTCTGGGCATATATGACCTACAAGCGTGAGAACATAAAAAACCTAAATAGCTCAATAAAAAGTAATGAGATTCAATCTATAATATAAAATCTTGCAATAAAGAAAGCCCAGAGCTGGATAATGACACTGCTGAATTTTATCAGACTTTTACAGGAGTAACAAAAATGATTCTCAACCTATTCTGAAGAATTAAAAGGACAGAAGCCTTTCAAAACTCATTCTATGAAGCATATATTACCGTTACCAAAAATCTGACAAAGACAAAACAAAAATAGAACACTGTACAGCAGTATGCCTGATGAACATAGATGCAAAAATTCTCAAGAAAATACTAACAAACAGAATTCTACAGCATTCACACACACACACACACGCGCACACACACACTCACTCACCACTATCAAGTTAGTTTCATCCCAAGGATGCAAGGCTGGTTCAACATAACCAAAAATGTAATACATCACAACAAGGAGAAAAATCCATGATTATTCCAATAGACGCAGAAAAAGCATTTAATAGAATTCAACATCCCTTTACAGTAAAAGTCCTAAACATATTAGGTGCAGTATAAAAGGACAGAACCTCAACACTTAGGACACATACATGACAAACCCACAGCCAACATCACACTGAATGCTGAAAGCATTTCTAAGATTAAGAATAAGATAAAGTTGTTCACTCTCATAACCTTTATTCAATATAGTACCAGAACTTTTAGCCAGAGCAATTAGGTAAGAGAAATAAAATGCATACAAACAGAAGTCAAACTATCCTTATTTGCAGATTATACATGTAGGAAAACCTAAATATTCTACCAAAAGACTGTTAAAACTGATAAATTCAGTAAGTTAGAAGGATTAAAAAAAAAAATCAACAAACATCAGTAGCTTTTCTATATACCAATGATGAATTTGATGGGAAGCAAAACCAGGAAAGCAATTCCATTTCTAATAGCTCCCCTCAAACATCCCAAAACCAAACTACCACAAAACCTAGGAATAAACTTAACCAAGGAAGTGAATGACCTCTGGAATGAAAAATACAAAACACTGAAAGAAATTGAAGAGGACACACAAAAAATGCAAAGACTTTCAATATAGACTGGAAAGATACTGTTAAAAAGTCCATACTACCAAAAATGATCTATACATTCAGTAGAATTCCCATCAAAATATCTCACATTCTTCACTGAACTAGAAAACCTAATCCTGAAATTTACATGGAAACAGGGCCTCAGATAGCCAAAACAATTACAAAACAAATGAATAAAGCTGAGGTCAACATACTGCCTAATTATGAGACATACTAGAGACACAGTAACCAAAACTAGTATGATATTGGGATAAAAATGTAAACACTGACCAACAGAACTGAATAGAGATACCAGAAATAAACACACATCTAGTCAACGGACTCTCGACAAAGGTGCCAAAGATGTACAGTACATTGGAGAAAGGACAGTGTTAGATTTGACCATTCTCTCTCATCCTATACAAAATTCAATTTGATCCAAGATGGATCGAAGACCTAAATGTAGGACTTGACTATTAGAAGAAAACATAGAAGAAATACTTCAAGACATTTGTATAGGCAATGATTACATAGGACCCCAAAAGGATAGGAAACAAGCAAAAATTGATAAATGGGATTACATCAAGTTAAATTGTATAGCAGAGGGAATAATTAATAGAGACAACTAATGGTATGGGAGAAAACAATATGCCAAATATTTATGACAGACTTAATATGCAGAAAATACAAAGAGTTAAAAAAAAAACTACCAGAAAAACCAACAGATCCAATTAAACACAGGTAAATAATTTAAATAGATACTTCTCAAAAGAAATACAGCTGTGCATGGTGGCACATCCTGGGGAAGTAGCTCAGTGGTAGAAAGTAAGAGTATGTGTGAGGGCCTGGGGTTCAATGTGCAGAGAAGGAGAAGAAAAAGAGGAAAAAGAAGGAATACAAACACAAATGGGCAAAAAATACAGTATATGAAAAAATGCTTGATATCACTAGCTATCAGGGAAATGCAAATCAGAACTGCAATAAGATACCATCTCATCCCAATCAGAATGTCTACTATTAAAGAACACTATATATAACAGACTGAAGAGAATGTGAAGAAGGATCTCTTCTACACTGCTGGTGGGAATATAAATTAATCCAGCCACTATGCAGAACAGTATGGAGATTTCAAAATAAAACTAAAAACAGATCTACCATATGACCCAGCTAATTCCACTTTTGGGTTTATATCCAAAGAAAGTGAAATCAGCATACCAAAGAGATGCCAATGCTTGTGGCAGCATTATTCACAATACCTACACTATGGAATCAATATAGATGCCTACCAACAGATGATTCAAATAAATTTTATATATACAATGAAGTATTATTCAGCCACAGAGTGAAATCCTGTCATTTGTACAAAAAATGGGTGGAACTGGAGGATGTTATATTAAATAAAATAAACCAGACCAGGACCGAATGTTTCCTATTTGTGGAAGCTATAGAAAATTCATACAACTTTAGAACTCTGTCCTATAAAGGTAAATGGTTATTTCTTCACTTTTTCTAAAATGGGGGTGAGGAGCATGGAAGAAGGCAAACAAGCACAGCTGAGTGGTATATTTGTTGTTTTACTGTTAATCTGACACATTTGAACCAAAGCATTCACAATACTTGATATACTTTGAAGAGAATCATATACTATAGTCTTAAGACATAACCACAGTACAAGCAGAACAATTAAAGCTACATAAGGCCTTAAAAGATATCCACAGTGTATATTAATATTCACTCATTTACAAATTAAACTACATACCATTAAATTTCTTTTGCTTTCATTGTTTTAATCAGGCAGGATTCATTCAAGAAAAGGCAACTTAGTTTTTGTGTGTGAGCTTTATTTTTTACTATATTGATTAATATAAAACTTATGAGTGAAATGTTTTCTTACCTCCTACATATAGGAGTAAATCCACGAAATTCTCAGATAGTAATAACAAATAGCCAGTCTAGTTGTGGTCACAAAGAACAATTAATCAACTTTCAGGTTTTTATATGATAAAGAGTACTTCAACTCTGTAAGATTAGTCAAATGTAAAATAAAATCAGGTTTGAAAGCCCTAACTGCCTTTTAAATAACTAAATGAAAATTTTAAATAGTTGCCTCACAGTATCAAACTTGTAAATCCAATCTAGTTCAAATCCAGTGCTATCATGACTTCTCATTTATAATGTAACTAATTAGCAAATTGACAGATGGCATAATAATTAAGACTTCATTTCTTTTTTTTCTGGATAAATGTATTGTGACCAGAGAAAACAGAAAATTCAACGTATTTTACAGTAAAATAACCATTCAAGCCTCTATCCCTGTACAGCAGGGTAAATTCTAGTTAACTTGCATTTTTTTTCATTTATTTTTTAGTTATTCTGTGCACTTGAACTGCTTTAGATATACCGCTTTTGAAAGAGTATTACATTTGTATACCAGGATAAATTTAGTATACTGAGAGGTTTTAAAAATATTTATAAATGTTTCTGATATGCAAAAGCATTTGGCAATACTTTTACAGCATTTGACTTTTATAGAATTAAAATTTCATACAGTACTCATTTTGATGTTTAAAAAAAAAAATTCACAGAAAAATATAAATTACACAGCCTGACTGCTTGATACTGTTATTTCCAGTTTCTGGTTCTGGTAACTAAAACCTTCATTAAGTTTGTTAACAAATCATTACCTGTACATTTATGAAGGCAACTGACATGATTTGCAAACAAAATCTTCAGGTTTCATGTTATTTACCAAAGAGTGCAGTTCAGCAAGAAAAGAAAACTCAATATGCAAATTTACAGAATGTTTTACAAATTTACCAGTTCTTGGGACACAAACTGTTTCAACCTTTCAAGGTATTGCCCATAAAGTTCCACATCATTGTGTCCTGCTCCTTCAACCCACAGAGGCTCCACAGGTCTTTGGCAACGCTCAAACAACGCGAGGCCATGTGAAAAGTCAATGACTTCATCTTCAGTCCCATGAATTATTAATACTGGAGAGGTTATCTTAGAGATTTTGTCGATACTGCAGGGTAAAGAAATGGGAGAAAAAAAGATAAGTTAACTATGTAAAAAGAAGTATAACTTTTCTTGTTCTATAACAGAAAATTCAATCAGAAACTGTATAAAATCAGCTCAGAAGGGATGGATGTCTTAGATTTTGAGTAACATTTCAAAAGATGATTTTTGACTCCCAAGAATGTTGGCAGCAGGCCTTCATCTTGCAAGGGAAAACTTTAGAAAGAGCTTTCTCTGGAGATTGTACCAGATCAGCTCTTTAGTTCTCCACTCTTACCTATTAGCAGATAGCCAAAATTGTAAGGTATCAAGAGAAAACACTTCAAATATAAGAAAAAGATAAAGACAAACAGAATTTTTAAAAGGTAACTTGGAGGACAAACTATGCAGAGAACCTTACAAACAAGTCTTTTCAAAAGTCTTGAGAGATAAGACAATATAACTGTAAAATGAGAATGGAATCTTATAAAGGAAGAAATAATCAGTGAAATAATTCAAGGCTGTATTTGGTAAGACAAATGTTTATTTATACTATTTGCGGTGAAAAAGATGTTCAGTAATAGAGGAATTAAGACTTAAAAAAATAAAAAATGTATGACTTTTTAAAATATTTTATTTATGGGTAGCACTGCTTCTTTCTTTGGGTATCCTAGATATGAATGAAGGAGCTAGACAGAACTGAATGAGGGAGCTAGACAGAACTGTAAGTTGTTAAGTGTCACTTAAACCACCTTTCTTTATTAATTCCTATCATTCAGCTAAACAGAAATGGTTTAATAGATATCATTATCTAAAAGAAAAACTCAAAACAAAATAAACACCCACAGCGGTAGAATGCTTTCTTAGCATACAAGAGGCCCTGGATTTGAAAGCACTGCCAAAAAAAGGGAAACAAAACCAACCAACTCCAAACTTCCCATATCCTGCAGTAGTGATAAGATCACATTCTCCTGTTTCTCTACTAAAATGACACTTTTCTAGCCAATCATGAAAAAAACTTTTTGAAATAACCTTTGCTGTTCCAAACAACCAAGTGATAACATGGCTTCTGACCTGTCATTCACACACACACAAAAATCCTTTATGTTGTAGCCAACCAATGAAAGGGAAGCCTAAGAGTTACCAAAATCTTATACCTTCTCCCTCTTTGAAAAAATTAGGTCATCAATTTTTTCCAACTACAGTATGGAGGGAAAACTAAAAATAGGTGGGAACTACCTCCTGTTGTGAGAAGCATGAAGTAGCTGCCCTTTTTCAAATCTGTGTAACACTGTATGTTTGCAGGGTTTGTGGTGACAATACTGATATTCCTCATTTAACAACCTACATGTTTGACGACTACACATGCGACCCAGGTACGCTATTCAGATTTATGGCCCACTCTATTTTTTTGTACAGTTCTGTATGTATTATTAGCAGAGCCTCAATATCTTTTTTGTACAGACACCTTGTTTATACACAGTGCTAAAACTTTTGCTGATTGTACTGTACAGTACTGTAGTTTTGTTGTTATATATTACAGTACTGTATGAGTTATGCAAACAAAAGCAAAGTCATGAAGTTGGAGTTTCCCTCAACCATTTCTTTATTTTGAATACTGTAATTTACATACTATATACAATTCCTCACTTAGCGACCAAATTCAATGAACGACCTAGTCTCAGGACGGTAACTCAGTCATTAAATAAGGAAATGTCTATACTCTTAATTCATAAGATTCAATTATTTTGCAGTTTCCTTTTTTTTGTAAATTAGATATCATTAACTAATTTTTTCCTCTACTTATTATTCCTTTCCCTCACCGTTAGGTATCTCACTTAATGGTACCATTATTCATTACCAGCTCAAGGGAGAAACTGGGATCTTATTAAAGTTCTTCTCTTTATAGTATCTCACACCCAAATGTACAACCAGTTCTACCAATTTTACTTCACAATTTCATTCTCTTGTGTCTAATACTAGTGACACTGTGTAGAGTATAATATCCTCCTTCTACATATTGGTCAAACATTTTGACTTTCTTACTGGACACCTGCCAATACTCTTCAAACTAATTTTTTTTCACAATTCCTATATGATAATTAATAAAGAATAGAGGCTCATGGCTGAATGAACTGTGTCATCAACGTCTTAAGTGATAGAAAAAAAATTCAAGTTTCTTGGAATTGCACTATCTTGAATATTGCCACTTACTTTGGGAATGCATCAAAACAGTAGGTCTTCTTGGTATCAGGAAAAGCAACTCGCATTCCTGAGGTCAAAGGAGAATGAAGAATAACAGCAGCACTCTCATACCGAGCAGCAAGATCCACAGATGGTACTGTCCCTATACTTTGGCCATATATAATCACATTTTCAGGACGAATGCCATACCTACAAAATTCAGAAGTTAAAAAAAAAGTTGGACTGGAAGAAAATGTCCCATCATTTCTGAAGATTTAACATTAGAATGATGTAGGATGAGACAATGTCAAGTAATTTACGATTAAAAATTAAGTTTCCCAGTTATCACCATCAATTTTAATGCTACAGCAAGCTCTATACTATAAGCTTATTTCACCTGTTTAATTTAACCTTTCAGAAATAATTGCTGGTATTGTTTAAAATTTCAATCTTTATGTATTAAATCACTTATTATGCTCTAGTAATTCAACCTAGCACATTGTTGACTAAGCGTGGAACACACCAGATTACTCTTTTGTTTTTATTTTTGTGCTACTGGGCATTGAACCAAGGGTCTTGAGTACAGTAGTCAAGCACTCTACCACTGAGTTACACCTTGGACCTTTTAATTTTTGTTTTGAGACAGGGTCTCAACTAACTTGGCCAGGCTCACCTTGAACTTGCAATTCTCCTGCCTCAGTCTGCCAAGTAGCTGGAATTACAATTGTGTGCCACAAGGCCCAATTATATCACTAATATTTTAATGGACTGGTGTTTAATGTATATTTAGTGTTTATTTAACAATATAACAAGTTCTTTATTTCTCCAGACACTGAGAACAGCTCATTTTTATTTTCTAAACTGGTCATACTGATGAAATGCTACATAAGACTACGGTTATGAAATGAGTACAATAATGTACGATAACTGAAAAGATGAACAGATAAACTAGAATTTCAAACACAATACAGTTCAGTGAATTATGAAGAGACTTCCAAGAGTACTATTTTCCTCCTTTTAACACTGCCAGAGATTTTAAATACAAGTTCACTGACTTAATAAAATAGTTATGTTCCAAGAACTATTAGTTGGCCTATTTAGAAGGCACAGAGTAATCAGTGCTGGTAGTTAAGAGCCATTTGCAAAGCAGCTTCTAGACCTTCAGACAGGTAAGAGAGCTTTCCGAGAATCTGAACATTCACTAGGAAAGAGCAAGGCAAACTATCCACATGTTCTCTTCCAGGAAAAGATTATGTGAACTATCCAGGTAATGATATTCCTCCCAATAGTTTCTTCTAATCAGTCCTACACAAACACTTGGGATATAATCTAAAGGTGGGTTCCATCCAGTCCTAATTTACTCTTTTTTTTTTTTAGAGATATTTATAAAAATTATTTTATTATGCCATGTTAGTTATATAATGAGTTTCATCTTGGTATATTTGAACATGTATGTAACGTACTTTGATTATTTTCACCCCCTCATTAACCTCCTTTTCCTTTCTTTCCATGATCATACTGATCTCTTTTCTCTTCTCTAGTAATCTCCTTTTGATTTTCCTGTCATAGATATATATTTTTTGTATTAAATTCTTTTATTGGTACATTGTAGGTATACAACACAATTACATTTCTCATTGGGAATTGTACCTTTACATAATGCATCTTGGTTCTTATTTTTTCCCCATTCCTAGCCCTCCCTTCACCCCCTCCACCTTTCCCCACCTACAAAGACTTTTATTTCCATTTTTTCCGTTTCTCATCATTTTTCCTTTCCCTTCTTTCCTTTCCCCTGCTCCTCCCACTACCCCTACCCTTTGGACCTTTTCTTCCTATTTTACATTATCGATTATTCATTCTAATCATTGGTACATTTTAGGTATACAAAATAATGACATTCATCATCGGAAATTTGCACCTTTACATAGTCTCTCTTGGTTCTTATTTTTCACTCTTGCCCAGCCCTCCCTTCAACCCCTCCAGTCCTCCCTATTTACAAAGATTTTGTTCCTATTTTTCCATTTTCTCATATTAATCCCATTCCCTTCTATCCTTTCCCCTAGCCCTCCCAATTCCTTCCCCTTTGCCCCTTTTCTTCCTATTTCACATTACCTATTATACATTTAGTCCTTATTTACACTTTCAGTTTCTCACACCAGAGAAACTATTCAGTATTTACACATGTGTCCTATTTATTTCACTTGAGTATCGCCTCAATGTGCATCCACTTAGCTATAAATGTCTCTAATTTCTCATTTTTTATGGCTGAGTAGTACTCCATTTTATTAAAAAACCACATTTTCTTTATCCAGTCTCCAGTTGATGGGCATTTGGGCTGTTTCCAAGTTTTAGCTATTACAAACTGTGCTGCTATGAACATGGGTGCACATATATCACTGTGGTATGATTCTTTTAATTCTTTGGGGAAGATCCCCAGCAGTGGAATTTACTCTTAATGTGACTAAACTGAGAAAAGCTTTTTTCCTTTACACAGAAATAAAGATATTGGGAGAGGGCCAGGGATTTAGCTCAGTGGTTCCGATGCCTGCCTCACAAGCGCAAGGTCCCGAGTTCAATCCCTGGTACCAAAAAAAAAAAGAAAAGAAATTGGGAGAATGAACATTAACGGCACTGGCACAATTCAACACTACATTATTAAAAGCTGAACAACAACAACTGCTGATGGCAATTATGGGTTTTCGGCTAAAGATGGCAATGGCAAGGCTCTAGAGCAGTGGTGGCGAACCTATGGCATTCATGCTGCAGCAGGCTGTTATCACTCAAAGCGCTAGAAGGTTAGTCATCACTGCTCTAGAGAAACATGGGTAGCTGCCAATGAAGTATCAGCGAACTATAAGCAGTGATAATTTCAGACAGTATGAATCAAAAGGACTTTTGAGACCATCAATCTAGTTGAGCTGTTTAATGAGATGCTCAAAGTCACAATAAGTTAATGACAGATCTATAATGAGGACCAGGTATACCAACTCCCAGGCCAGAGCTCTTTCCACTACAACACAGACAGCTTAAGAATTGTTGAGGCCCACAGAGTGAACATCAGGACCTTATTTTCTGTTGGTTCATCAGAAGGTCAGAAACTGAGGTTATTAGGCATATCAATTTTCTGAAAAGGTGATCACTCAAACAATAATTATTTAAATTCATTATTTCTCTTTTTCACTTAAGCCTTAACTTTTTACTTTTATTAAGTAAAAGAATTATAAGTCACGTATCGCAAATATGTATACCACACACACACACACACACACACACACACATATATATATGGAAATTATCTGGGTAATCTTTTACTCAACCTTTTTAAACAGATAAAGAAACAGGCTCAGAGAAGTTAAATATATTTCCTAAGACTACTTATACTTACTAACTGTTCCAATTGTATTTAGGGTGCAACATGAGAGACAATACAGAATTGCTAAGAATCTATAGGATGATTTAAATTTATTCTGCCTTTTTTATTAAAAATGATCAACAAATATGTGAAAAAAATCAAGAAAAAATCATTTTAGAAAGTTTTCTTTAAATTGATATCTGACATAAGAAAGGAAAGCTGATTATATAGATTTTCTCACAAATATAGAATACTGAATATCATGTTTTGTTTCAGTAACATCATCCTTTTATGTTGCTTAGAAGTACTAATAATAAAGACCATCTGTTTTACCTTAGCAAGTTTAAGCCATATTATTTCACTGACATTACATTTTAAAAGTATGATATTTATGACATGTGAATTGTTTTTAAAATACTAAATAATTTTTACCATCCCCCTTTTAACTCCTTACTACTATTTTAACTCTTCAAATCTATGTTTTCATTTAATTTCAATTAAAAATCTCCCCTACTCCCTCCCCTTTCCCCCTTGGTATTGGGGACTGAACTCAGGTAGCACCCAACTACATCCCCGGACTTTTCAGTTTTTTGAGACAGGGTCTTAATAAGTTGCACAGGCTTTCCTCTAACTTCCTGAGCCTACTGAAGTAGCCGGGATTACAGGTATATGCTACCACACATACCTAGTAATTCCCTTTATATGGAATTTTGCTGAAAGTGTAACTTCACACTTTTGGAGAAGGACATATTTTTAGACATTTTCTAAAACAGGTTATATCCTTTAACAAAATTAAGGAGGTTCTCCCTGTTACCATTAATATTTAAACATTAAATTAGAAACAATGAGTTTTCTTTATGCCTGCTAGCTTACACTTAAAAGTCAGGCATCTTATGACAAATAAGTTACATAAGATACCTATCTATTTATTGAACATTAATCTGATTCATGAGAAAATACACTCAAGTCTACAAAATAGATATTTTTCAAGAAAAATTTGTATGTATCTTGGTGACTAGGAAAATTTAATGTAATTTCCAGTCTCCAAATGTATATTCTTTGTTATAATCAAAAAATAATTGACAAAATAATAAAAATTTCTCACATTATCAAAACATTACTTCAAAAAACAACAACTTGAAATGGCCTTTCCAAATTTTAAGAGTCCAGAATGTAAAGTAAAATCTCATTTAAAATAATAATTTTAATCATTCCAATAAAGTATATTTACATCACAGTGCCCAAGAAATAATTATATAAAATAATGTATGGGCTGGAGATCTAGCTCAGTGGCACCGCGCCTGCCTCACAAGCATAAGGTCCTGAGTTGGATCCCTGGGACCAAAAAAATAAATAAATTAATTAAATAAAATAATGTAAACCTGTTAGGGTTTCAATTCTCTCAATAATGACAGATCAAGTGAATGATTACTTAAATATCATTTTCTCTAATTTCACTGAAAGGCTACAACTGTGAACAAATATTTGAATACCACACCTCAATAAGAGAGTTCATCAAAGCAAACATTTATCATTTGATTTAAAAATTTAAAAAGTCACATACCACATGCATTAATATACATACCAACCTGAGTTGTCTTAAAGAGCTGTTGTGGTTATTATACAAAATTTAAAATCGTAATCTAAAAGTTTAATGATTCCTAAGTATATATTTGTAAGTACAATCTTTCTATAGTAGTTCAAGGCATGTATAATAAAAACAACTTTTATATTAATGCAGTACAATTTTGGATAACTACCATAAATGTGAAAAATACTTCCCAATCACACTTTACCTTGTCCTAAGAGCAAGCCAAGCAGCTTCAATATCTGCATATAGGTTCTTCTCTGTTGGTTTTCCAGAACTTGCACCGTATCCAGAATAATCATATGAGAATATGTTACAATTAATCCGTGATCCCAGTCCTATGTAAAAGCTGCTCATCTGACCAAGATCAACAGCATTTCCATGTGAGAAGAGTAAAGTGTATTTGGCATTGGGTGAGCAACGCACAAACATACAGGCAATTCGGTTGCCTTTACTGGTTCTAGTCATGAAACATTCCATAGCATCTTTTTCTCTAGAAGAGTATTGCCAGTCAGCTCGTTCTGAGAGGTGTAAAGTCCAGCGGCTTCCACTTTCATCGCACATCAGTGTGTAAGTTGGATCAGGTGGCAAAAATGCTAATTTTGAAGCAATTTTCCCTGGGCAAGGTGGACAGCAGAAGAGGCAACATAGCTCACTAAATGAAAGATTATTCATCCTCTGAAAAAGAAAAAGAGAAAGCAAAAGTTTTTAATAACTGTGGATTCTGCATTCTTGTACAATGGGTTAAAATAAAGGCATGTGTAATTATTATTGGTGGTTCATGTCTGCTAAGTATCTGCCTCAATAGATCTTGGCATCTTTCTAGAAATACATTAAATCCTAGAGTGAGGCAAATATTCCTAGCCTGTAGATAAAACTCAAACACTGTATGTTTCAAATAGTAGTGATTATTATACATAACAAAAATGTGAAAGATAACGTATTAAGATAATAGAAGGCATGAATTATCTTTAGATTATCTTGCAATTTCTGTGTAACTCAATAAAGACTATCAGAATCTCATGAAGAAGCTAGGGATTACATAATAAAGTAAAATAAGAAAAGTACACAAGGTGAAGCAGTGGTAGAGCCAGAATTTGATGCTAGTCACTCCTACTCTCACGCAAACAGGTTCTAAAATCCTTCTTGTGGGAAAGCAGCCTTTCATTTTATCACAGTAAGGTGGTTCAAATAACCTATAAAATGTAAAAAAATAATATATATGTAGACTTGTACCTATGTACATACTTATTGCCCACACTCAAAAAAGGCTAAAATATGAAGTCAGCTATGAAAAAAAAAGTTAAATCTCCTCATGTTGGATGAAGAACACAGAGAGCTGGGGTGGAATCCCAACTTAACACTAGCTTTGTCTCCTCGGGCAAATTATTTACCTCTTTGATCTTCATTTTCTTCATAAGTAAACAAGGCCAGTCAATACCTACACTGAACATAGTGGTTGTGAAGATCAAAAAAGATGTCAGGGAGGTATACAATCCAGTGACAGCCACATAGTTGGCACATTCCAGAATGGTCCTCCCGTTTTTTTAGTATAATACTTTTTTAAAAACTTGGGCAAAATAAACACAGTACTTATTTTTGCACCATCAGCATTTCTGTCTATTTTTACCCTTTCTCAAACTCTCTTTTTAGCTGACACAGACCATTGCTTAATTCCTGGAAAGGGGAATTCAAAACAATTACTTAATATTAAAGTTTATGGAAGTTGCCAGTGCTCTACACATTGAAATCTTAAGTACATTATAACGTATACAAGACGTTAAGATTGATGGTTCAGATTTTTTGTTCACCTCTGAACACTATTACAATACCTGTCCCATTGTAGGCACTTCATATGTTTAAAGAATGAATAAAATATTACTTAAAGGTTTGGTAGCACACTAAACTTTCTCCAAAGTAAAAGATAGGAAAAATTATACATCATTATACGGAGAAGATAGTTCCCCTTAGGTGAGCAATAGGGTTGAGATGTTTAAGAAGAGAAGAATGTCCTTTTCACTCACCATTGAATGAAAATATATTCTCTGAGACTCAATACAAATGTGTTAATTTCTCAGAGCAGAAACAGCACAGGAAGAGAGATACAAGTACAACATGAAGGACTTTAAAAGATGAGCAAGGGAAGGGCAGAAAAGTGTCTTGAATATCAAAAACACTTTTACTTGTTATTCTACCTTTATTTCTTTTCAGCCTTTTAAATAAATTTGTTGGAACAAGAATTAGAATAGAAGTGAGAACTAGGTGTCACCTCTAGTGCTAACATGAACTGGAGGATGCTGAGGGCATGCGCAGGGCAAAGGAGGCAAAGAATGTGTGATGCAGTGGTGGTGAACCTATGGCACGAGTGCCACAGTCAGGTGTCTGTTATTACTGAAAGCTCTAAAAGGTTCGCCATCACTGGTGTAATTAGCAGTGTCCACGACAGAATCTGACTATCTTGCAATAGGAAGATTTAAAAAATCTGATGAAGATGGCAACAGAAAGGGTCTGTTTCAGGAGATGACCTGGGGGTGGGGGTGGGGAATGAAGTAGGAAGTACAATATATCAATGCTTTGTTTAGTATCTGACTATGGTTATTTCTCACCCTCAATTACCTTACATGCTGTAACTACTGACCCACAACTGCCAATTAAAAGTGTGATTAGTAAGTAAAGTGGATATAGTTAGACTATGTTCCTATAATTTACCACTTAGACATGAAGACTTATACACAGTAATAAACTAGTTCTGAAATCACCTGGCGACTGAACACAGGTAATGGCACAGAGATGCTTCTGCAGATGAACACCAAAGGAAAGAAGCAAAACAAGAATGGCTGCAGTGCCAGGGTCATAGCCAGTGAAAATACACAACCTTCTTCAGGATGGCAGAAGAAATTATTCCCATGTCCGCTGTCCCAAAGTGAGCTAACTGGGACCCATTTAATGACAACTCACAAATTTTTACCTTCCAAATAACAAGCTTGATACAGGACAGCAATTTAAGTCAGGCTTTTAAAAAGTTACTGTTTCCTTTTCTGTTTGAAAAATTTCACAGTACATATAAACAAAATAAAGCTAAGTTTTTGTAGATCTGAGCTGAGTTACTGAGGAAAAAATTTTCATTTTTTTGATCTAAAAAAAAAAGTCACTGAAACAGCTTGTTAAATTGAGCTAATTGTAAATCCAACTTAAAAAGTTACCTGAATAAAAATATCATTTAGTTGTTACACATACACACACACACACACACACACACACACACACACACTCCTAGAGAGGAAAGACAGAATAGTACTAGGGGAAAAATAAAAGATTTGGGAGTATAAGAAAACCCTAAGAGAAACAACAAATTCAATAATTTACAGAAGCAGCAAAAGTTTGAACCAGACAAAATAGGGATTTAAAACAAGTTACAATAAATCCAGAAAGAGAGAGAGAAAGAGAGAAACAGAAAAGACCAGACTGAGAAATCTCCAAATATGCAATTTGAGGGTAGGTGATGAAGAGAGAGAAAACAGAAAAGAAAATTTAATATATAAACAGATTAACAGCAGAGAAAGCAATATCCACACTATAAAGAGGTCTCAGGATAATACAGAGGAGAAAATAAAGGCCAAGCATTTCTTAGAATTAAAGATAACAATTCAGATTGAAATAGCTCAAAAGGGGCCAAACATGGGGAAACGCTCACAGCTAGACACTTTTTGGTAAAAATGAAAAACATCAGGAATAAAAAAAAGACCCCAAAATTTTTTACAAAGTAATAAGAGATTACTTACTAGAGAACAAGAATTTTTCACTTTTCAATAGCAACACCTATAATATAAAAGGCAAGTAGTCAGGGATGGCTAGAATATAGAAAATTAGAGCACTTATAAACTACTGGTGGGAAGGAAATTGATGGATCAAATCTGGAAAAATTTGGTAGTCTCTCAAAACAAAAAACAAAACAAAAATCACCCCAGAATTATGATTTTACCAAGAAATTTCACTTCTAAGTATATACCTAGGAGCAATGAAAAACTGTCCACACCAAAACCTGTACATAGATGTTCACAGCACTATTATTTATAATAGCCCCAAAGTGAAAATAACACTATGTTCAATTGATGAACGAATAAACAAAATGTATTATATTCATACAAATAAAATAAAGAGGAACAAAGCAACGATGCATGCCATGAGGTGGATGAACCTTAAAAAAATTATGCTAAATGAAAGAAGCCAATCACAAAAGACCATTTAACATATGGTTCCATTTATATGAAATGTCCACGGGCCGGGGATTTAGCTCAGTGGTGCCGCGGCCTGCCTCGCAAGCACAAAGTCCCAAGTTCAATCCCCGGTACAAAAAAAAAAAAAAAAAAGATCTATATGAAATGTCCAGAAGAGGCAAATCTATAAAGATAAAAAGTAGACTGGTGATTGTCTAGGGCCGTGGAAGATGGGTGGGTTGGGAAGTAAGGACTAAAGGAAATGAACTTTCTTTATGGAATAATGAAAATGTTGTAAAATTTATGTGGTAATGTTTGCACAAGTCTGAACAAATTCATTAAAAATCACTGAAGCATGCATGTTAAATGGGTGAGTTCTACAGTATGTGAACTTTATCCTAATAAAACAGTCACATACACACAAAATCTATGAAAAACTAATTCTGAAAAGAAAAAGCAAAGATATATATGTATTGTGCAAGGTAGCTGGGAATTTTCCCTCCCAGATAAGAAGACAGACTACACAATAACAAACGTTAAAGTAATAAAGACTGATGCTAATACAGAAACAGACCTACTAAGAAAAGACAGCTTAATGGACTCACATATGAACAAGAATATGGCAGGTTTCAAAGTAGGAAAAGATGGATTCTTTAGTAAAAGACGTTGGGAAAACTTACTACGTAAGCAATAGTTTTATCCCTATCAGTATATGACAAACTTCAGGCAGATTACAGACCTAAAGAGCAACCTACAAAAACTTAAAACCACACATACACAACTTAGTAGATTTATCTTTATTCAAATGAAGGATACCTATTCAGAAAAAAAAAAGTCTGGGAAAAAAGACTTCATCATCCAAAACTGTAATGGACATAATACTTAAAATATGACGGCTGGTATGTGGTTCAGTAGTGAAGTGGTTGTCTAGCAAAGCCTTGGGTTCCATTGTCTAAACCACAAAAATAAGTAAAATAAAATATAAGAACCTTCGCAGAAGCAAGAGGAAGAAAATAACAGGTAACTTGAAAATTCACAGAAAGACATTCACATGGCCTAACAAATATGAGGAAAAGACTCAAACTCACCATTAGAAATGCAAGAAACAGCACTTCAGAACTATAGTAAAAACAAAACTCAGTAATATTCAGTGATGTTAAAAATAGGATAAAATAGGAATCTTTGTGAAATGCAGGTAAGCCATCCTACAAGAGGGTAGGTAAGAATCCTACCCTTGGGTAAGTCCAAAGAAACTTGCAGTTTTATATGGTAATGTACAAGAGTATTCACTGCCAAGTTATTTATGTCTGAACATCAGAAGTAACACAGATGCCATCAGTGGGGAAATGAGTAAGCGTGTTTGATGCAGATAATGGAATATTATCTGTAGTCAGAAAGATGACTTGGAAGGCTAGAGCTTAAAAATATACTAGAATAAAAAAGGAATAAACAGATCTAATA